AGAGTGACGAAGGAGGACAGAGAAGGAGGGACCGAGGAGAGAGATAGAGGAAGAAGTGTGGAAGGAGGGACATCGGAGAAGAAGACAGACGTAGCCGTGGGTGACCAAAAAAAAAAAAAAAAAAGAGAAAGAGAAAGGAAGAAGAAGGTGAAGGAAGGGGAAGAGAGGGACAAGGGTGGCGAAGAGGAAGGTGCCGACAGCCATAGAAAGGTGGAGAGTTGACCGGGGGTTGACCGGACGTTGACCGGGAGGTTGACCGGGGCGTTGATCGGGGTCTTGCTGCGTTGACCAAGTGTTGACCGGAGAGTTGACTGGCGCCGTTGACCAAGACTTTGACCAAGCTGGAGTTGGTAATATCTCGCCAAGCCCTTAGCCTATCCCCTCACCCTATGGATGTGCACTCACCCGGCGGTACTTGCATGAAGGATAGGTCTGGATGACGAAACCCCTATTGGATCTAGTAGGGCTGAAGCTGTGAAAGATCCAACTGTCCAGGGGGGCCTAACCCTCCCAAGGACCAGTGCTGACCGGCTGGACACGGTTGGTATGGAACAGTGAGCCTGAAAGACTGAGTTGGGGCTGACACACCAGGCAGTCTTTAAGTGTTGAGGGTCTGTTTGAACCACTCCCCTACCGGAACAAGTAAGGCTGAGGATCTGTGTCTGACGACTCGACTGTCGTGGGGGATACGAACCCTCCCAAGGACCGGTGCAGACCGGCGGGCTGCTCGGTGTTGCACAATAGGCCGGAAAGGTTGAGTTGTGGGCTGAAAGCACAGGCAGAACCAAGCTGATCACGTCGTCCTGTCTGCGACGTTAAAGAATTCTTGCGGAGTTAGGGGGATCTCCTTAAATGCCTCCAGATCAGCCACTGGTTTAGTAGTGACAGCCTTAGAGTAGGTCTAGGCTAGTGACCATAGCTGACAGGGTTCTACCCTGTGGTCCTTAGAGAGTCTGTCAGTGCGTTTGCGGGTTGGTCTAAGTGGTGAGGAGTGGGACATTGTCGTGCACCTATCACCATGGACGATTACCTGATGTATAGTTTACTCGTTGGGTTCTCCCTTTGGGGGAGCCTCTGGCGTCTTCTCTTTCCCCTGGGGTTTTGGCACACGTTCACGTGTAGAGTGGATACCAGGGGTGGTGCCGCCACCAAGCCCTATACGAAGGAAGAGGAGGAGAAAATGGCCGCCATTCTGAAGGAAAGGAAAGAAAAGAAAGAGGCCAAGAAGAAGGCCTTGATGGAGGAGGAGGCGAAATTGAAAGAGGTAGAAGAAGAGGAGGAAGATGATCAACCACTGGAAAGGAGGAGATGGCAACGGGGGCAGGCCAGTGAAGTTAAGCAGGATGAAATGAAGAAGAAAATTTCGGAATGGGTTGCCAACTTGTCCCTGGGAGAAGAAGAGGAGGTTGCAATGTATATCCCCAAGGATGAGCAAGAAGTCGTCGTTAAAGCGTGGGATGCAAAGGAAGACCCCCTAACGCGGCAGGCGATGGAGGATGAGAAGAAGATGGAGTGGAGGCTAAGGATGATGAGGGAAAAGAAAATAAGAGTAGAGGCGGCAAGTGAGGCGGCCAAAGAATTGGAGCAAGTCAAGAACCTGAGAGAGCAGATGACCGCCCAGGTGGATCTCCAACGAAAGGTGGAGATCATTGCCCAGAGTGTTGAGCGCTTAGCCCGGGTACAGGGAGAACAATATGAGTTCAGTAGAAGTCAGGATATGGTCGTGTGCTCGATGCGAATGGGATTTCGGGACTTTGCCCACGAACTGGTAGGCGCAGTAGGGGCCGAGGTGAACCATCGCCTCGAGAAGACTGAACGATTTTGCGTGGGCGCCATTGAAGGCGTCAAGCTGACAGCCCCTAAAGAGGAAGAGGCACGTCCTCGTAGGGAGGCTGTCAAAGTCAAGCTCCCCGATTCCTACAATGGAAAGAGGGAAGAGAATTTTGATAATTGGGAGGCCAACGTCAAGACGTATGTGCATTTGCAACAGGTCTCCCCGGATCAGCACGTTTTGATTGTTATCCATGCGCTTAGAGATGAGGCTGCCAGTTTTGCAAGGTCCCTAGTCCGCTCTGCCAACTGCAACGACGATGCACTTGCCTACTCTTCATTCACCCCCCTCATAGATTTCATGAAGTTGTTGCGCGAGCGATTTGCTGATGTCGCCCGCAATGTCAAAGCCTCTGATAAGCTCCAGACCATCCATTCTCGCCAATGGAAGAGTGCTAGAGCTCTCAAGGGTGTTATGGACGAGTGGGTGGCTGTCCCTGACCATGGGGTCACAGAGACCCAGTTGGTCAACCTCTTCTACAGGGCTATGCCCGAATCTCTGAGAGGCCACTTCTTTGCGAAGAGTCAAGATCCTGCTATGACGTATGACGCACTCACCAGGGAAGTGGTAGCCTTTGAAGCAAAGTCCGCGTCAGTATCCACTTTCTGGCACAAGGACCTGGATAAAGGTAAAATGTGGAAGGGCCACACTATTTCAGGGCAAGTAAAGACCAAGGATAGCCTCGTTTTTACCTTGGATGAGGGTAGTGTGGATGAAATCCCCTACGAACAGATCGAATGGGGATTAGAGGATGAGGACAGTGGGGTAAGTCAAGGGAGAACTTATGCCGCTGTCGTGGCTGGAGGGAGGCCGCAAGGAGGAGGATGAGGCCAGGGCCAAGGGGGCCGGGCCTCAGGGGGCCGATTTCAGGGCGATCAGGGGGTTGGCGACAGAGGAGGAAACCGCCAAGCGGGAGGAAGGGGTCAAGGTCCCCCGCAAAACCGGTCTGGAAATAGGTCCCCTTATAGGAGAAGTGGTTGGCACCCAGGGCTGCCTCAAGGCAGGCCTTGGGAAGATTTGGGTCTGGACCAACGCATATGGCAACAGCGTGTGACCCAGGGACAGTGCATTTATTGCGGTGACCCTGGGCACATCATTAAGTACTGTCCAAAGTACAGAGAGACCCGATCGGTTGCTCAAGGGCCAAACGACAGTCGCCGGTAGGGGTAGCAACTGCCCCTACCATAAGGCCATGTGGGGAAAATAGCGCTAGCCGGCAGGAGACTCCCACACCACATGTGCCCATGGCAGAGGTTGCAGGCCGGTGTCTAGCTAGCTGTCCAGAGACTGCTTGTGTTAGCGTCTCTCTAAATACCTCCCTCACAGGCGTGCCTGAAGAATTGAAGAAGAGGATGCCCGCCTGGGCCAAGATGAAAAAGGAGAATAAAGGACAACTTATATTAATAGATACAGAGATATTTAGAGGAAGAGCAGGCGCCTTAGTGGATAGTGGGGCCACTCGTAGTTATATTAGTAGGAAGGCGCTACAAAAGCTGAAGTTGCAGTTAAAGGTCCAAAGACTAGCAGACCCCATAGTAAGTATCCTCGCGGACAATCGCACCATGCGAGTGGAAGAGTACGTAGAGGGAGTCCATGCATATTTTCGCCTAGAGCAGGATGGGAAGGTGGAGAAAGTTCTCCATTCCCTGACTCTCCTCGTAGAGGATAGCCTCCCGTTTGATATAGTCCTAGGTATGGACTGGGGAGAGGCAGCCGGAGCCACACTCCATTTGAGAGAGCACGAGTGTAGGCTCCCTAGTCCATCAGGCGGCGTCAAGACTGCCCGTGTGTTCCATGCGTCAGGAGTAGACAACTCCCTGGCACATTGCTGCCTTAGTGCTCCTTCGTTTGCACGGCTAGTAAAGAAGGAGCAACCAGAGGAACAGGTTTTCGTAGCCTATGTTAGGCCAGTAACTGAGCCTAAGGAAGAAAAGCCTATAGACCCTACTATTGCCAAGCTGCTGGAGGAGTTTAAAGATTTAGTTGAGTTGCCGATAGGAGTAGTTCCGCGGCCCATCCAGCATCGAATCAAGATAGAGCCTGGCAGTAGGACGCCCAAGGGAGCTGTGTATAGGATGTCCCTGCGAGAGTTAGAGGAGTTGCGCAAGCAATTAGACGAGCTCCTCAAAAAGGGTTGGATTAGGCCCAATTCGTCTCCATTTGGAGCACCTGTTCTGTTCGTTCCCAAGAAAGAGGGAGAGCTTAGGATGTGCATAGACTATAGGGGTCTGAATGCTATCACAGTTAAGAATGTTGAACCACTGCCCAGGATAGACGATCTTCTGGATCGAGTGCAGGGGTGCAGATATTTTACGAAGATAGATTTAAAGTCTGGATATCATCAGATAGAGGTTCATCCTGATGATCAGTATAAGACAGTTTTCCCGACTAGATACGGGCACTACGAGTTCATCGTGATGCCCTTTGGACTAACCAACGCGCCGGGCACTACGAGTTCATCGTGATGCCCTTTGGACTAACCAACGCGCCAGCGACTTTTCAGCGATGCATGAATGACCTGTTTAGGCCTTGGTTAGATAGATTTGTTGTAGTGTATTTGGATGACATCCTAGTGTTTAGTAAGACCCTCAAAGAGCATCAAGGTCATCTCCGGCAGGTCTTGGAGAAGCTGAGGGAAGCTAACTTCAAGATCAACGCAAAGAAGTGTGAATGGGCGAAGACCCAAGTGTTGTATCTAGGCCACCTCTTAGACGGAGACGACATCAAGCCCGAGGATAGTAAGATCGCATCGATCAGAGATTGGCCTACACCGCGTACATTGACAGAGTTGCGGTCGTTCTTAGGCCTATCAAACTACTATAGGAAGTTCGTAAGGAACTTCTCCACTATCGCTACGCCACTTCGCAGACTGCTCAGGAAAGAGACCATCTGGAAGTGGGACAAGGAATGCACGTCTGGCATGAAGAAGTTAAAGCAGGCGCTGATAGAGTACCCAGTCCTTAAAGTAGCCGATCCGTCTTTACCTTTCGTCGTCACAACTGACGCGATCCAGTACAGTATAGGTGCTATGCTACAGCAAGACGATGGTAATGGGTATAGGCCCGTAGAGTTCATGTCTGCTAGAATGCCTTCAGAGAAGGTCGCGACATCTACCTATGAGAGAGAACTCTACGCTCTCAGGCAAGCATTAGAGCACTGGAAACACTACTTGCTTGGGAGGCACTTCAAAGTGTACTCAGACCACGAAACATTAAGGTGGTTGAAGACTCAGGCCAAGATGAAACCTAAGCTGACTAGGTGGGCCGCAAAGTTAGGCCAATATGATTTTGAGCTCAAGCCAGTCAAAGGGAAGTATAATGTAGTTGCGGACGCCCTGAGTAGGAGAGTTGACTACTTTGGAGCGATAGTTCATTATCTGGATATAGGGAGAGACCTGCAGCAGAAAGTTAGAGAGGCGTACTCGCAGGACCCTATTTATAGTGCCCTCCTCAAGAGAGTAAAGGAGGCCCCACGATGGGCTACTATTCGAGAAGACTAACGTCGTTGATCGATTGTGCATTCCTAACAATGAAGAGATCCGTAGTTTGATCCTAGGGGAATGTCACGATACTAAGGGACATTTTGGTTGGCAAAAGGCTCTAGCTAACCTCATCATCCTCATGCGCGCATATATATGGCCTGGGATGAAGGCCGACTGCATAGAGTATGTTCGCAGTTGTAAGGTCTGTCAGAGAAATAAGACTTCTACGCGTGCCCCTCTAGGTCTTCTCAGACCCTTGCCTATCCTTGACCTACCCGGAGATTCAGTGTCCATTGACTTTATGGATGCCGGCGTCAAGAGTAGGCACGGTAAGAGCCAAGTCATGGTCATAGTTGATAGATTTAGTAAGTATGTTGTTTTCGTTCCCTTACCATCATAAGCTCGTACTGAGCTAGTGATTCAGAAGTTTTTTGACTTTTGGGTTAGTGAGCATGGTGTCCCACTGTCTATAGTTAGTGATAGAGATACCCGGTTCACAAGTCAGAATGGGCAGGAGTTAATGAAAGCCTACGGATCACAGTTGTTGATGTCGTCTGGCCGCCATCCAGAGACTAACGATCAGACTTAACAGATGAACAAGATCCTACAACAAGTTCAGCGTATGTATGTTAGACCGGATCAGATCAACTGGGACGAGATGTTACCCAAGGTAGCCAATGCGTATAGCAACAGCGTGCACTTGTCCACCTGTCGCACCCCCAACGAGTTGCACAACTCCTTTAGACCACGCAGACCGTTTGAGGGACTTAACCGGGACCAGATTCATAGGCTACCACCCGGTACTAGGGAGTTTGCGATTCAGCACGAAAAAGAGCTGGCTACAGTTGTAGAGAACCTCAGGAAGGCCCAGCATAGGATGATAGAGCAAGCCAACAAGCATCGTCGGCCGTCGCAGTTCCAAGTAGGCGACTTAGTCTGGGTCAAGTCGAAAGAGTTTGCTCCTGAGGAGAACATTTCGCAGAAGTTATTGCCTGCGTATAGAGGACCGTGGCCAGTCCTCGAAGTCAAGGGCGGCGAGGATGGACCGTCCTACACTATTGAGATTCCAGCACACCTCCACACCTATCCGGTATTCCATGCATCAAAGTTGCTGCCGTGTTTCACGAGTCAACAGTTTCCATCTAGGAGATCCATGATCCCCCCAGACATGGACGGAAGATATGAAATTGACAGCATTGTAGGTGAAGATGTGTTCAGGACAGGAGGTAGAGGTCGTCCACAGAAACAATATAAGGTCCGATTCGCTTATCAGGAGCCCGAGGACGACCGCTAGTTTACTAGAGCAGAACTTCTAGAGACAGCTCCCGACATAGTTAGAGCCTACGAGAGAGATAAGAAAGGTAAATGCCTTGGACTGAGTTATTCTCGGAGGACCTCGAATTTAGGCCGGCGGGACTGAAACGGTTTTCACTTTTTAGCAGTAGCGAATGCAGATCCCAGGGCTCAATCCCTAGTTCTCACCTTACCTGTGTACAGTATCTGTGTCAACCCCGAGTGTTTGAACCCGTGACCTGCGTTTTGTTAGTTGTTGTTTGTCTGTCGTAGGTCTGTGCAGCGGTAGAGGTTCGATCTGTAGATCTGTCAAGTAGGAGTCCCAGCTCTGTAGAAGTCCTAGCTACAGGTATTCTGAAAGGTCAAGGTCGTAGCTGCTACAGTCCTGAAAGGTCAAGGTCGTAGCTGCTACAGTCCTGAAAGGTCAAGGTCGTAGCTGCTACAGTACCTGAAAAGCCAAGTCCACAGACTTCCGGAAGGTCCCGGAAGTGGCCTTTCGGAGTGAGCTCACGTCTAGACAGAGGCAAGTGGGCAAGCGGTGGAGCCAACCTCAGTACGTTGGCAGTACGACTGCAAACCCATGCAGTCAGCGGTACCGGTCCAGTCAGTCCCAGTCCAGTCCAGCAAGTACCATGAGGGACTGTGTGTACCACGGGCCGACGGAAAAGGGCAGACCAGCGAGTCACAGAAGTATAAATCAAGAGGCAGCGCCCAGCCATTCATTCATTCCTGCGTAAGCCATGCGGAAGCGCTGCCAACAGCGGCTTGTTCGAGGTGGTCTGCAGATGCGCCCGAAGTTGAAGTGGGCTGACGGAGAGTAGTGTAGCCATAGCGATAGAGTAGAAGCGGCCATAGCTGCCATAGCTGGTAGTGAAGTGCAGTGTGTGTGTACAAGTGTACAGAGTGTGTGGTGTGTGGGGTATCCAGGGTGATCCTGTGTGCAAGCAGCAGTGTCAAGTGAGTGACGACAGAGAGTTGTACCGGCGATGTGCCGCCATAGCCAGTGGAAGTGAACTTGTATCTGAACTGAGTTCTTGGCACCATATCTCTGAGTTCTTAGTGGGCGCTTGACGCCAGTTTGCTGCGCAACCTGTTTGCATACATGTGAAGTGTGAATGAATGCGAGCCTGATTGCAAAAATTGCAGATGATACTCAAATCACAGAAAAATCACGGAGGCTAATCAGGAGCGTAGAGAACCGAAACCAGGCTACCCGAGTACTATTCACCAGGCCAACCAAAGTCTGCCTCAACCCTCATATCCTAATGCTAGGACTCTACCAGGTCTCACGCCCGCCCATGCTAGGTTACAGAGCAGCATGACCCATCGTTGTCCTGATTGCAGGTCACAGATGGCCACTGGAATGCCTTCCACCCTAGGCAGTTCCCCAAATCTCTCTACCAGGCCTCATGCTCCCACCCAACTCGGGCTACAGGGCAGCGCAACCAAACTCCAGCCCCAGCCAGCATCGTTCTGGCATCTGCCCTCCATAAGCTAAGACGTGACAACATCAGCACACCATCAGATGAACTGCTAAACCCCATGGGATCACCCAGCATCTAGATCTAAGCTATCCAGCTGCTGTCAAACACTGGTCAGGCTCAACACCCCAGACCACCCATCACTCCCCACTCCCGCAAGACTTATTGCAGTGGAGCCACCATCTCTGCTGCTGATGTACCCTATTCCCATCCTACAAGCTAGCCTCATCACCAGCAGGACGCGTGATATCCATCAGTTTACCTCCCCCACGTAGCCAATAGGCACTCACCCCTACCTGTGCGACCCCAACACAGAGAGGTAAGCTAGAGAGAAACAGCCCCCATGAACTAAATCCTAGTATGCTTTCACCCGACCGGCGTGGATCCAAAAATTATCAGAGGGTTTAAGAATACAAAAAAAGCGAGAATGCCAGAGCCACCTAGTCAACACCCTCTGCCTCCAAGGGAAGACCAACCTCTCTCCCTATGGAAGTTCTGGCTTATGACAAAGACTCAGCGGGCATGATGAAGACATTGAAGAGGCCCACAGGCTAACCCCTAAAAATTACTCCCCCCCAGGGAAAGCAAACCCTCTGTCCCCACACTGCCCTCGCCAGGAGGAGCCACCCCTCTCCTCGTTGACCCCAGTTCAGGACAGCCCCACAAAGGTCATCCCCACTCCCTCCAGGACATACAGCTTCTCCTAAAGTATGCCCCTGCCGAGCAGGAGTTCCCCCATCCCTCCCGTCCCATCCCCCCAAGTGAAACCTCCGTGCCAAAAACAGCACCACTTGTCCCTCTCTACCCCTGCCATGGCTGATATGACCCCAAAGGTCAGCCCAGCCCCAGACGAGGACAAAACCTCATTTCCACCCCTACCCTCTGAAGGAGAAACACCTCCCACATTGTGTAGCCCTCGTAGGATCAAGCTCCCATCCTCCGGGGAAAAGACCCAACGCTCAAGGAGATAATCCTGGTCAGCAGCTGTGAGATCCCGAGCCTAGAGTGCCTATGGAAGGCAAATAGTGCTAAGGCAACGACCTCGAAAAATTCCCAATCATGAGTGCGCAAGCATATCAGACCAGCGATTGAGACAACTACCGGAACTATTTATCGAATGAAATTGTGAGCAGATAGGATTCGAAATTTCGAACTCAAACGCCAGGAATATACTTATTAGAAATTATCGGGTTTGAATTTCAAGAATCACGAGTCTGGACGAGTGCAATTTAGCGATCAAAAGTTAGGTATCAGAAAATTGATTTGTTGATATAGAGGTATATCACATCACATCAACAAGTACCAAGAGGCACACACAGCTGTTGGATAATACATGTACAGAGTACAGGAGTACGGAAAGTACAAAAGTACAGTAGTGTGATGACCCGTCCAAACATGGACTGAAACACACGGCTGATTTCTGAGTTTTGCCCATAGACTGAATGCCTTGCTGAGTTCCCCGCCTGCTACTAAGTCTGTGTGTGCACGCTTGCTGGACTGCATGTCTGTCTGAGTGCTGGTTGGCTTGAGTGTGTGTGTGGCCATGCCTGTCTGAGTGCTGGTTGGCTTGAGTGTGTGTGTGGCCCACAAGGGCACTTGCTCGTTCATTGGGCCCTCAGGGCCGGTACTTACCTGTGGCCGTAACATTGAGGGATTGCAGCGGGAAAAACACTCAAGTAGCGGGTAGGCCTTTACCGCACCTTGAAGAGGTAGATGTGCGGGTACTGGAGGCCGAGCAGAAGAAGACAAAAGTGGCATTTTTAGAGGCCCAGTAGTTGTAGGTTAGGNTCCAACCAGTCTGAGTCTAGGGCCTGTACGGGCAATATCAGAGTCTGCAATGATGTTGCTCTCCGAAAGGGAGGATGTACCGGTTGCTTGGAAGGCCGGGCGGCCTGGAAGTCACCGCCCGAAGAGGCAAGCAGGCCGCTATATCTCCCAGCCGGGCGAAGAGCCCGGCCTCGTTCTCGGTGTGCAAGTTTGGCGACACACTGGTTGGAGCGCCAGTTGGAGCAGCGCTATCTGGAGCAGCGCTGCTGAGGGAAGGAGAAGGACAAGGAGGAGGAAGCAGGACAGGAAGGGGGAGGAGCGCCAGGGGTACTTACCTGGCTATGGTGGCAAGCATCTTCATCACCTTGGTGGGCGCTGCAGCAGGGAGTCTCCAACTGGGGAGAGCTACACCAAGAAGCTACAAGGCAGAGTTGGGCATGGCAGCCTGAGTTGGAGCAGCCATAGCTGCTTTGGGTTGTCCTTTGGGCATCTGGGCAAGGCCTAGTAGTCCGCCACAGCCTCGGCCTATGATGATGAAGGGAGGAAGAGGCGGCCATGGCTATGGTGGACCTCAAGTGATGCCGGCAGTAGAAGAGGAACTCGGACATTGATTCTGGATCAGCCATTCAACATTGTATTATTATTTCTTGTATGAATAAGAGAAGGGGGAGATAAGGAGGAGGAGATTGTGGGGCAAAGAAGAAGAGCCTTGTCATCTGTCTATGCTGGTGTACATCATCTTCTTCTTCTTTCTTACTTCTTCTTCTTCTTCTAATCCTCTCTCTCGTCTCAAGTTCATTCATTTCTTTCTGCAATTGGACGGCATTGTACTATCTGAGGATGGGTATCTCGAAATTGGTCAGGATCTTAACATTGGTATCAGAGCGGATTCTACGTGCTGTTGAGAGTTGACTTTGCTGCCCTAACCCTAACCTAAGTGGTTGAGGGCAACACTTAGGGTTAGGGTTGGATGTAAGGGAAGTGGGGCAGTGTGGCTAAGGGAAGCTGCCCCCACCTGGTTAGGTCATGTGGGGTCGACATTGAACCTAACCAGGTTGCTTGAGAGTGAGATTAGGGTGGCGAGACATTTCGAGGAGACTCCATGTGGCAATTTGAGAGAGGCAACAGTGAGAGGCACCCGCACCTGGAATCTGATTCAAGGGAGACACTTGGCAACTTAAGGGCTGCCCTCAAGTAGGCGAGCTTGAGGGTCAGCGCCACTCAGCATCTACGGACTGCAAGTTGCTACTTGGTTCTTCAGCATCGACGGAGGATCCGGCGTTGCACTTTGGTGTTGGAGTCAGACCCTCCTAGGAGATAGGACACTAGTGTAGGGGTAGCGTTAGAGGGGTCAGGGGGATCACATGAGAGGGGGGTGAGTTCTATTCATCTCGAAGCTCAAGGCCACTCGGGTAAGTGTCGTGCACCTACGGGATGCCCATGTGTGTGTGCATGGTATGGATTGTCCTGCTGGGGTTACTCTGGGATTCTTTTCCTACTCCTCTGTGGTCTTGATTGTGTGATTGAATGTGTGTGATCTACCTACTCACCTGATGGATGGAGAAACGAAGTATCTTGATTTGAATGCCGATTCTTTCTACAGTGCTTTGTCTTTTCATCTCTGAACGGTTGTAGTCTGTAGGTTCTGCCGGAAGTTGAAATTTTGTTTTTCGGTGCGGTAGAAACTAAACTAAGTCCATGTGGGACTCCTCTTGGTTGGGACCTGGTCGCAGCCTACGTGGGACCTCTGGGACAAAGTGGGACTGGGCCCAAACAAGAAGAGTCCTTCGGGCCCAAATCTGTTAGGCATTAGTCCATTGTCTTCCTGACTGAGATACGGAGTTCATTCTTCTTGGATTAGGACACCCACTGGCGAGGGGATCTCGGCTGAGACGTTTCGCATGCTTTTGGTTGCACCGTCCATAGCTTGACTCGCACCCTGTACACCACTCAATTCTCCATTGTTGCATTTAGTCACTCATTGTCTGATTTGCTGCACGGTCACGGAGCTGGTCAGACTGGACTCGAGAGGACCTCGTATGCAGTCTGATCAGACTGGGTCGCTGGATCGGACCTCTCATGTGAATTTGTTTGCTTTGGGTTTGCTGCTCTCTAAGTCCAAATGAAATGCCGCTCCGGCTAGGAGTTCTACCTTCTCTTCTCTGAGTTTTTCAGTCTGTTTCTATGAGTTCATTTCTGATATCCGTGGAGACTCGCAACCAGAAAGAAGAGAGAGAGAAAAGGAAGAGAGGGAAAGTGACCGTCTAGGTGGGCAAGGACTGGGAAACGGAGTGTTCGTCCAAGCGAAAAGGGGAGTATACCTGTTGAGAGTCTGGTTGATTCTTTTGCTGATTGGCGTCTCCCCGATCCACCTGCCAACGACAAAGGTCCGAAAATGGCCCAGCCACGGCTAACCTCAGTCCAGTGGAAGGCCCTATTAGATGCAGCCAGCAATGCAGAGAAACCGTATCTGCAAGCACTCCTAGATAGTGCCATCAAAAGGGAATAAGAGACAGAAAAGGAGAGGAAGGAATTGCTGCTGAAAAGTCAGGAGGCCATCTTGGAAACTGTCCCCTCGCTGACCAAAGAGCAGTGTGGGGAACAACTGCAGTCCATACTCACCGCTATCGTCAACGTCCGGAGCCTTGAAGATCATACCACTCAGATCGTCGACGTCTTCGCAAAATTGCGGACACTTCAGGAGGATCTACTGAGATGACCGGCAAGTACCGTGACTTTATGGTAGAGGTTGTTGCGCTGCGACATGCCCAAGTGGCCAACCCTCTTCCTCTGCCCCCTGGTTCCGGAGCTGCAATTGTAACTAACCTTGCCCCTCTTACCGTATCTTCTTCTACGTTTTCCTTGACTGTGATGGCAAACCCCTGGGGACCTGCAACAGGTGCAGATTCCGTTGTTGCTGTAACAAGCAACGAGGCAGGGAATTTTGCAATTGTTGCAGCCCCAAGATCTGAACCAGCAGGTGCTGGGCCCAACCACGCCGGTCCCTATGTCGACCGAAAGGCGGTGCAAATACCATCTAAGTACGACGGCAAAGAGGATATTGAATCCTGGATCAGTTCCATGAGGGCATACTTCGAAGTTCTGGGTACTCAACCTGAGACCAAGTCCGTGATCATGGGAATAATGTCGAGCCGATTGTACGGGGCTTCCTAGAAGTCTAAGCTACGCGAGTTGGGGTTCCCAAAATAGAACTAATAAGGTGGCTTAAGGCCACCCCGGTTGCCTCCCTCGACGAATTCCTCATTGCGCAATACATGGATCCACACGCGGCAGCAAGGGCAAGAAGCCAGCTTGATAAAATCAAACGCAGCAAGTGGACGGGCTAGACTTACCTCAACAAGATGTTTGTTACACCCATATTAGAACTGACTGATCAATCATGCTTGGATGTGGTCAAAGGCGCGGTTCCCACCAGCTTCACAAATCGCCTAGGCAGGGACTTCATTGCGTACACTGACTGGTTCACTCTGATGAAGGTCATAGTCAGTCTCGAGGCGATAGACCTCGTCTCCACAGAAGGCAGCAAAAAGCCCATGGGCGGCAGGCAGTTCAAAGGCAGCGGCCGTTTTGCTCTGCATGACCTGCTGGAGGCTGAAGAGGAGGCCGATGCAGATGACCCCACTCTTGGTGACGACCAAGAACGGGATACTGGTACAGCCTGTTCGTCAGCCCATGAGTCTGATGTAAACCAAGAAGAAGAAAAATTTACTACTGCCAATGCAAGGGGACCGAATCAGAATGCGAGGAAGAACTATGTCCAACTACCCAAGGGAGTTAAAATCCCAGCAAAAGCGGAGAATGCGGCCACTAAACCATGGGTCGACCTCCCGATCACTAAAAATGACTGGCGGGGTAGACTCAAGAAGGGGGTATGCCTGCATTGCCAGAAACCGAACCATGAGGTACAGGATTGCTATAGGCTGCAGGGAAACCAGACCCGGGCGTAGAGTCGATTTCAGCACACTCTACAGCAAGGGAGACTGAATTTGATGCACATCAGCAGTCCTCCCTTGAAGCCCAATCATCTGCTGAAGCCAAGGCTGAAGTGTGTATTGTTTTGCATGTCGAGCCTTGGGAGGAATTTTGGACGGTCAACTTCCACTACCACTTGGAGCATTGGGCTGAGATGAAACAGCAACGTGCCCAAGGGACAGTGAAGTTGATCTTCTTTAAACTTCTTATAAACCATCGCTATCTCCGTGTTTTGATTGACTGTGGTGCTACGACTAACTTCATGTCACCTCATGGGGTACGCAAAGTGGGCTTGGGAATTAAGCAAGTGGCCTTGCAGAACCCTTGCCGAACCCAAGTTGGCAACAAAGAAGTTCTCTTCTACGCATGTAGTCAAATGTGTGCGCACTACCTTTGACAAGGACAAAATTGTCACCCACGTGTTGACCTTCTATGTCGTTGACAAGTGCCCCTTCGACGTTGTCCTTGGCTTGGGCTTGTGTGCAGTCCCAATGCGTATGAACCAAGTGGAAGGAGTCACTTTTCATGTTCAAAGATGCTAAAGGGAACGAGCTTCTCGTCCTCTTGGATGAGAAGCACGAGTCCCCAGTGACTTTTATGAATGCTATGAAGTTCTGCAAGAAATGGCGCAAGCACAAAGAGGACAAACAGTTGTATGTTACCTTTGTTCATCTTACCCATGTGCCATCTACTTTTGCGGTTAATACCACTACTACTTCAGCTAGTGATTCTACATCTAGTACTTCTACTTCTAGCACCTCTACTTCTTTACCTTTTACTAGTCCAAATGATCCTACTTCGTATTCGGGCGCCTCTATTCGCGACCTGCGACCCGATCTAGGTGATCCCTTTGCTGATCCTCCACCCCCACCAGTTCCACCAAACATCCAAAACCTACTCGATCGGTTCCCAGAAGTTCTGGTCGAGCCACGTGGAGTCCCCACACGATCGGTCCAACACACCATTGAGTTGGTCGAGGGTGCTGTTCCTCCAAAGGGCTACGTATATCGAATGGGACCCGACGAGTTGGAGGAACTCCGGTGACAGATTGATGAAATGATTGACAAAGTGTGGATCAAGTCTAGTGAGTCTGAATTTGGTGCTCTTGTTTTGTTTGTTTCGAAGAAAGGAGGCAAGCTCCACATGTGTATTGACTATTGCGGTCTAAACCGCATCACAAGAAAGAACGTCTATCCATTGCCCCGCATAGATGACTTGCTTGATGCCGCAGGTGGGTGCAAGGTCTTTTCCAAGACCGATCTCAAGTCTGGCTACCACCAGATTGAAGTCAATCCTGCGGACCAGCACAAGACTGCGTTCAAAACACGCGATGGGCTTTACGAGTTTACCGCCCTTCGGTCTCACGAACGCACCGGCCACCTTCCAAAGCCTCATGGACAAGGTCCTCTGCGAACAGATTGGCCGGTTCGTGGTGGTATACCTCGATGATATACTAATCTTCAGCAAATCCATGGAGGAACACCTCAAGCACATCGAGGAAGTGTTCACTATCCTCAAGAAAATGCAACTCCATCTCAACCTAGAGAAATCTGAGTTTGGGAAGGATAGTGTCATCTATCTTGGGCATCGGCCGTTTGCTGCAGGGGGCAACCAAGGTTGAGGTCATACGCAATTGGCCTCAACCCGTGAACGTTCGCGAACTGTGCTCTTTTCTTGGTCTCGCGTCATACTATCGAAAGTTTGTGCCCCGCTTCTCCATTGTTGCTCGTCCATTGTTACGGTTGACAAGTAAAAATGCTCCCTATTCTTGGGACACCGCTTGCACGAACGCCTTTCGAGCTTTGAAAGAAGCCTTGGTAAGTTACCCAGGACTCCGCCTTGCAGATCCCAAACTGACATCCGTAGTTACTACGTATGCAAGTCCGTATGGAATCGGCGCAGTGCTGCAGCAAGATGACGACGATGGCCTATGACCGCTCGAATATTACAGCAAACGCATGCCCAACGAAAAGGTAGTCACTTCCACCTACATGTGCGAGCTCTATGCTTTGCGTATGGCTTTGGACCATTGGAAACACTATCTTTTGGGACGCCACTTCAAAGTGTTCTCAGATCATGAGACTCTGAATTGGATCAAGGAGCAAACTACCCTGTCCCCTATGTTACTTCGCTGGTTCCATGAAATTGACATTTTTGAATTTGAGAGCTCTATGCTTTGCGTATGGCTTTAGACCATTGGAAACACTATCTTTTGGGACGCCACTTCAAAGTGTTCTCAGGTCATGAGACTCTGAATTGGATCAAGGAGCAAACTACCCTGTCCCCTATGTTACTTCGCTGGTTCCATGAAATTGACATTTTTGAATTTGAGTTGAGACACAAAAAGGGTTGTTACAATCGAGTTGCCGATGCATTGTCTCGCCACCCTGAGTACATGACTTGCCTTGTGAAAGCCTACGACCTCCGGAAGAAATTGAGGAGGAGCTCGCAGAGCACACAACCAAGGATCCGGAGCTTAGTCCCATCCTTGAGCGGCTGCGGGCTGACCCTAGCGGTCAACCTGATTTTCGCGAGTATGGAGGATTGATTTTCCGTCGCTACGGGAAACACGACCGCTTGTGTGTGCCCAACCATGAGCCTCTCCGCACGCACTTTCTGTGTAGCGAGCGCGAGGCTGAGGGAGACAGGGAGAGCCGAGGGAGAGGGAGAGAGAAGGAGAGAGTGAGAGCACACACACGCACTCACTCACTCGACACGATTGAGGGTCGGACGCAGACACAGTGGCAAGGACACAAAGTCGAAGTTTTGGATTCCGAATGCTGAAACAGGAGCAAGTCACACTGAGTACGAGTACAGCAGCTGAAACTGGTAGGAGACTGGTCCCCGTACCGTACGGGGAGCCGGTATGAGTACCGGTGACATGTACGGTACCAGGGCCATTTTTGCAAAAGCCCCAAGGACAGAACTAAAAAATGCGGCATTTGAAAGTGGCGCGCGAATTGCAGCATGGCGCCAGTTGTCCAAAATCCGACGGTACCAAAGGAGGGGCTTGGAAAAAAGGTGCCAGGCCAAAAACGGGATGCAGCAGAAACAATGAAAAGTAGACCAGGGATCGAGACCTGGTGGAGTCGGTAACATTCTGGATTTGGCTCATGGCCGGAGCGGACACTTCGGCATGGCAAAGATGTACGCAAATCTGCTGAGACAGTTTGATTGGCCTGGCATGAAAGGGACTTCTTAAAAGTTTGTGGCTGAATGTCAAGTCTGTCAACGAATCAAACCATGCAGACAAAAGCCCATGGGGCTACTAACACCCCTTCCCATTCCCGATGGTCCCCGGGAGTCCGTCTCCGTCGACTTCACCGACCTGGGAAAGGTAAGTAAGAACTACTCACAAGTCATGGTGATTGTTGACCGATTCTCTAAGTTCCTTAATCTGATTCCTTTGCCACCTCACGCTCCAACAGAATTAGTGATCCATGCGTTCAAACCGAAGTACATTCTGCAGTTCGAAACCCCGAAGACTCTTGTGAGCGATCGGGATCCGCGCTTCATTAGTACTAAATGGAAGGACTTCACGTCTCAACTAGGGATCAGGCTGTGTATGACATCTGGCCGATACCCCGAAGCCAATGGTTTGGCTGAGGAGATCAACTAGACTGTGTTTCAACTTCTCCGCGCCTTGATTATTCCGGATCAGGAAACATGGGATGAAGAGTTGTATTTCGTTAAGGGGTTGTTCAACAACTCCATCCATTCTGCCACCGGCATGACACCCAACAGGTTGCATTACGGTTGGCAGATCCGTAATCCGCTCTCCTACCTATTCCCTGAGCAGCCAGTTGGCTTAACACCCGGCAGGCCTGGCTTCAGGGCCAAGTATGATGGTTTGCTCAAGGTTGCCATTGCAACAATGACCAAGCGACAGCACGCCATGATCCATCATGCAAACAAGAGGTGTCGACCGTCGGATATTCAGGTAGGAAGCTATGTCTGGGTCAAGATGTCTGAATTTTCAGAAGAAGAGGGAGTCTCTCGTTAACTTTTCCGACTTTATTATGGTCCGTGGGAAGTTTTGGATGTGATTGGCGAAGATCATTTTGGCCCTTTGTACGTAGTTGATGTGCCAGCCCATCTGCGCACATACCCCGTGTTCCACGCATCAACACTATACCTCCATCGTGACGCTACGACGTTCGATTATCGCGAAGACATGATCCCTCGTCCAATAAAAGGTGGGCATGAGATAGACAGAATTAAACAGCACGTAGGGAAGGGACGCAACAGACAGTACCAGCCGTTGGACGATCTGTACTGGATTTCCAAGCAAGAACTGTTATGCAGCGCACCACGGGTTGTTAAGGCCTACGAGCGACAAATCGCAGCTAACGCTACTCCTAAGATCTCCGCAAGGCTCACTGCGACAGAGTATTATAGAACCTCTTTGCCTTGCTTGCTTACAATGCGTTTGTCGAGGACTCGGAATGAGTTACTCGCTCGAAGGGACCTCGCCCTTAAGGGGGGGGTAGTGTGATGACCCATCCAAACATGGACTGAAACACACGGCTGATTTCTGAGTTTTGCCCATAGACTGAATGCCTTGCTGAGTTCCCCACCTGCTACTAAGTCTGTGTGCGCACGCTTGCTCGACTGCATGTTTGTTTGAGTGCTGGTTGGCTTGAGTGTGTGTGTGGCCATGCCTGTCTGAGTGCTGGTTG